TGTAATGCAGGGATGGAGTATATGGTCCTGCCCTAGGACATCGCAATGTTAATTGGACCATATTTTTTATATGAATTGTGGTTAATTTTGGAGTACTCCTTGGCCCTTAGGGAGTACTCTTTACACGCATGCATGGAGTAGTCGCGATTTTGGTTGTGACTTAGAATAGTTTCGACTTACAGGTCTATTCTGCACGTTACCGAAGATTTTGTAACCAGAAAATTTTATTACCAAAAAATGTTACCAGTTCTTGTCACCGCGATTCTAGAAACGTTGGTAATGCAGTTAAAATATTCAGCAATTCAGCTATGAAAAATTGTGCGAATTCTGGCATTGCCTATTTCACGGGGCAATACTTATGAGATGGTAACAAAATTTACCGGTTACAAGAGTACACAGAATGCGAAAAGGGTTTAAAAATTGACAGGAACTTTATTTACAGGTTACAAACATTTTATTACCAGCGCAGAATAGACCTGTTAGTGAAATATGATGCGCCGAAGTATTTTGCATTACAAATCATGTATCAAATTAAAGGTATTTTTGTGCTCTTTCTGATGAACATATCTTTTAATAATGTTAATCACGTTTTCTTTTAAGAAAAACATAAATTCGTATTACGAATGGCCATCATTACTATTTTTAGTTTTTCTCNTGTTGAGTACTAAATATGACTATGAATATGCGCCATAGTGTTTATGTATGCCTTTTGCCCGCGCCGATCAAAGAGTCGCAATGGCCGAGTGGTCAAAGCATTAGGCTGGCAGCCGAGAGGGTCCGGGTTCAAGTCCTCCTCGGCCGTAGAGGATTGTTTATTTATATTTTTTTTAGTTTTATTTTTTTACAATCTTTAGATTTTAATGTTTTAAAACCAAAAAAATTAAATTTTTTTCAATACAATTGTATGATATTAAAGCATTTTGGTTTATTTCCTAATGAATGAAATTCTTGTTGAACAAATTTCCTCGCTTCATTTTCGCGTTTTTTTTTTTTTAATAAAATGTAAAGAAATTAGCTTTTCCTCCATACTTCTATTTTTGTGGCCGGCTCTTAGCCAGCTGTCAAATTAGTGACTTATTTTTGAGACTAGAGACGTGAGACAGCGTACGGAATACCAAATAGTCTCAAAATCCAAGTTCACCACCATAAGTCACTATTAGTGACTAGAGACCGCTTACTGAATGCCAGGGTAAATATATGCGGTGAGCATTCACTTCTCTTCTGCATCTCATGAATTCTAATTGAAAAATATAGTCAAATATGGTAAGTAACGTTAAAAACTGCATATTTTGGTTTAGAGATGTATTATCCAAAAGTTACTATTTTTTATAGTTTCTTTGAACCTTGATTTTTATTAAAGTACTTTAGTAGGCCAAAATACAATAGCGCAGTGGCAGTGGCAGCGACAGTTTTTAAAATCAGCTGTTATTGCTAATATTGGCAGTCACTGCCGCAGCAAATACAATACGGCGTTGTCAGTGAAAGCTTTTTTTGACATTCTCTTTTGTTTGTTTACATTTTTGTTGTTGTCTTTTAGGCTTCAGTGACATGCACAGAAGTTGGCTGTATTTTATTTATGTCAAATTCAGCATGCGAAGTTTGCTGCGATGAAGGCAGTGGCTGTGAATTTAGAATTTGGGCTAAACTGAGCAGTACTGCCAGCTGCCACTGCAGTATTGTGAGTCGATTCATTGGACACCACACTTTCTAAAAACCAGCTGATTTCGAAAAACTTGCGCTGCCACTGCCACTGCGTTATTGTATTTTGGGCTAGTTAAATTTTTTACTTTGAGGGATTCGCCAAATTTTCCTTACGTGTGACTTTATACATAACTTACTTCCAAAAAATGTAACGTTAAAGACCACTTAAAACCACATTTATCTTTAAAACAATAAAAGATCGGAAACAAGTGTTTGTATATAAAATGTAGCTTTTGGGCTTTATTATCAGGATAAATGAAAAACTTTCGGTTTTTACACAACGTTTCGGAAATATAACAGGAAATATACGTGCGACTGTAACGTTTAAGAGAAACATATTTACCGGGGAGCCGAAATTGCGCATATGGAAACTGTGCATTTACATCCCTATTCTGCAACTCTTTCGTATTCGGCTTTTGCTACGAATCGTAGAAATAGTATGCTGCCTACGCAGAAAGAAGTTCGTTTTCATGTATGCACTATTTCGGTTTTTGTCATATGCATTATTTCGGTTTTGAGTCGAAACTGTGCATGTATGCATTACTTCGGTTTTTGTCATATGCATTATTTCGGCTTTGAACCGAAACTGTGCATGTATGCATTACTTCCCCTGCAAAAATTTGAGGACCAGGTGGTCCACTGGGTCGTAGTTTTAAAGTATGTGCAAAAGGGCCAGGTTGCATACTAGTAACTTGTTATGCTTACCTGGACCACTTCAAACGTAAAAAACCGATATATGTGCTGAGATCCACCTATTCGTGCCTCATCGGCAACATGATTCGGCTGCCGAATGTGCCATGATCCAAAAGGAGTAGTTGTCTAGGTGGTCCCATGTAATGCAGGGGTGGACCAGCAGTGGTCCCATGTTATGCAGCGTTGGACCAGAGGTGGTCAGGTCCAATGACATCGCAATGTTAATGTTACCATATTTTCTCCATATACTTGGACCATTTTCGTTACTAGTGTTGGTTACAAGGTAGTGTGGTCCCGTACTAGTATTTAACCTAGTCCCAATTTTTGCAGGGTCGTTTTTCTCATATGCGTTATTTCGGGTTTCAAACGAAAGTGTGCATGTATGCATTATTTCGGTTTTTTCATATGCGTTATTTCGGTTTTTAACCGAAACTGTGCATAAATGCATTATTTCGGTTTTTTTCATATGCATTATTTCGGCTTTCAAACGAAAGAGTGCATATGCATAATTCCGGGTTTTCTAATATGCATTATCGCGGTGTTCAACCGAAACTGTGCATATATGCATTATTTCGTTTTTTTTCATATGCATTATTTCGGTTTTTAACCGAAACTGTGCATATATGCATTACTTCGGTTTTTATCATATGCATTATTTCGGCTTTCAAACGAAAGAGTGCATATGCATAATTTCGGGTTTTCTAATATGCATTATCGCGGTTTTCAACTGAAACTGTGCATATATGCATTATTTCGGTTTTTTTTTCATATGCATTATTTCGTATGCACAATTTCAGGGTGCCATGTTTACCATATGCAGTGTGGGTTTCTTTTGTTTGGTAATATTTTAAGTCATATTTATCGTATGTAGTTTTGTATTTCTTCACGATCCAATGATCGGATCTAAACCAGATTAGTATGGGACCACCTCTGAGGTACCAACTTTCCAATACCTATATACAAGAATTATATAAATCGGTTAACGTGGTCTAAAGTTAAGCTGATGCCACATAAAACGTTTGCTTCGCTTTACGTGACAGATTCGCTTTGACAGCTAAGATGAATTGTATGAAAATGCACAAAGCATGCCACATAGATCGTCGCAGCTGCAGCGCGAAGCGAAAAGATGGCCAACTCCCATCTTTTTGCGCGCTTTGACAATCAGCCGGTTTAATATTTATTTTGTTTCGTCCAAATTCGAGTATTCATGCTGAAACATAAAACTCAATTACATTGCTGATAATTTTAAAGCAAAATATCTTAAATCCACAGCAATTTTGACGAGTAAAAAAGCAGTGCAAAATTGATTTCTTGGCGTTCATTGTGGCATACCTTTTGCGTCTGGCGCTTTGCTGGCAAAGTTATAAATGTCACGCAAAGCTACAAAGTTTTATCTGGCATCAGCTTTAGGCGGTAACATACAAACAAAAAGTATTCCTACGAATTGATAACCTCCACCTTTTTTTGAAGTCGGTTAAAAAAGTGTAATACAAAGAATTTGACGTTTTTTGGCTGAAATTACGATTTTTTGGGGCAAATTGACGATTTTTCAGTGAAAGATTTCGGCAACGCTGCCGATACCACCTTATTGAATACGCCTTGGGCGTATGAAGCAAGGCACATTAAACAGGTAGTATCAGTAGAGCAAAAACAACATTTGCGTGTATTTTGTTGTTGCTTCTGGTATCGAAAGTGTCAACAACTGTTCTGAATTGTTTCTTCTAAATCAAAGCGTGCCATGTGAAATACAAAAAATTATAAAAAATAACAAATTGAAATTGGAAAAAATAAAAATTGATGCAACTTTCTTTCCTAGTAAATTTGTTTGCTTCTCGAAGCATTGATCCATCCTTTGCAAGGCCCAGTAATCAGCGGTCGTGCTGCCGAGTTGGGCGAACGTTCCAAAAGCTGCTATTCAATCGCTTGTTTTGTATGGAAAAAGGTTTCACAAGCAAATGGATTTTAACTTATAATTTTCGTGAGAAAAAATTAAAAATATTTGACATTTTCGAGACCAAATAATTTGAAAATAAATCAAATCAGCTGCTCTACTGATACTACATGTTCAATGTACCTTGGTATGAAGCTATAACTCAATTTCCAATTTTTGTTCTGCGTGAAATTTTTGATTTGACGTTTTGTTCAATGAAATCAAATGCAAACGCATGCAAGCCAATTTTGGGCGACGTATAAAAACAAATTCGACGGCATGCGTACCAAAAAGCAAGTAGCGAAGTTAGCCTGTTAGCATTTGCGTTTGATTTCTCATTTGTTTTTGTTTTTTAGTTGTATTCATCGTTGGGCGTGGCTCCCCAAACCCCGCTAAACGAAAGAGGATGAACGCCGCTTTATGAAGTCACCCCCCACCCACCTCCAGAGATATTTCGTGGATATTTTTTTTTGACAGCTCACCGAGTTCATTAATAATTTAGTGCACATATGTAGTAAATTTTATATCTGTAATAAAGCGTGAACTGTTGTCTACAAGTGTGTGTAAAAGGTTTTTGATTCGATTCACGCGTTTGGGCACAGCAACCCAAAATCGTTGTACAAATTTATAGAGGTCCTTTCTCTCATTTAAATAATCGAAATGATACCAGAACTAAAATTTTTCTTGATGTATTTTTTATTATTTTAGCATCGTACTCCATATTTTATTACATTTTATTAACAAGGGTCTAAACTTTGTAACCCACCAAGTGGCGTTTGCCAATACATTCACCAATGTAAAACCAAAAGATAACCTCGGCGGTAACAAGGGTGTTTAACCATGCCTCTTTAACAGTCAGGTTTTTGTACGCACCGGTACGGGCTCCGTTGATGAGACGACCAATACCTTGACGAATGGCTGGAATATCACCTGGAGTTGGTGGAGTGAGTTCTACTTTAGCATACTTCAAGAAAACTTCCAGCTGTGGTCTAGCCTGGACCAAAAGTTCTGTATTACATAATATAAATTACACTTAGTATGAAATGTTTGGCAAATTTTTAAATACGTACTGTTCACTAGAGTGGAGCCCTTTGTTGCAATACTCGCCATTATTTATTTGTGTGCTACTGTATTTCGTCGAACAGAAAATATAGAAAAACAACCTTTTTATAGCTAGAATCTCACCAGCTTCCAGATTTTACGAAGAAATTTGCTAAACGTCAAAATCCACACTAGCGATGAAACGATACGAATAATACAAGTGCATACTCGATACTTTTCGTTCGAAACCAAGAAATTTTTGAACTAGGGCCATTTTTAGATGAATATTTAAACGGCACTAACCTGTCTGCATAGGCAAATGTTTTTATCTTGATAATGATGTCAGGCAAAATTTTGCAAATGGAGACCGCATATTTCTATTGGCAAGCAATAATTATCACAGCTTATATCTTGATAAATATTGCCAGCCAAGACGAATTTATACAAGGTGGTGTTAACAGAGCAAAAACAAAGGCCCCTATTATGAGTTACATTCGATCTTCGACTGTGGTCGAAAGTGCTGATCGAACGAATTTTCATTTCATATTATGGCGCTCATTCGATGAAGAATAGCGCTTTTGTGAATTTCGCTCGTTTATGTTATTCACAATAGTATATTATTGGTAATTCTCTAGGGTGGGGTAACAACCCCTAAAAAAGGTGCGGAAAAGTCGGGAGGGGTGCCAAACGACGCGTTTCGGCCCCCCTAATAACATAATAATATTATTAACCATTTAAAAGTTATGAACAAAAAACTTTTGTTAAATTTCGTTGTTTTCTATGAGCAATTACCACGTCAAAAATGCACTAAATCACCAGTTTCCACTTTTAAAACACTACTAAAACGTTTCCGGTTATTATTTTATGCAAACCAAATCATTTATTCACTTTTATTTTATATATTTCGTTAATAAAAGAGAGTAAACAAACTTTGCGCCTGCTAAAATTATTATAACTTCAAATCGCGCGATTTTTTATTAAAAATTTGCATTATTTATCGAAATAATAGCGCGATTTTTTATTAAAAATTTTCCTTATTTATATATATATTAAACGAAAGAAGATACCGAAAAGCATTGAACAGTGCACACATCTCATAAGGAAAAGTGAATTATTACGAAATACTAATACAGTGGCAGCACTATAGCTATTTTNTATATTAAACGAAAGAAGATACCGAAAAGCATTGAACAGTGCACACATCTCATAAGGAAAAGTGAATTATTACGAAATACTAGTACAGTGGCAGCACTATAGCCATTTTGGAATCTCGCGTTTCAGCTCGCAAAGATTGTCTACTTCTTTTTAATAACAAAATAATCTATCTTAGGTTGATAAAACTATGTGTTTCTTTAATAAATAAGTTAAATTATATATTTTAATGGTAATTCTCTAGGGTGGGGTAACAACCCCTAAAAAAGGTGCTGAAAAGTCGGGAGGGGTACCAAACGACGCGTTTCGGCCTCCCTAATAACAATCCTGAGGGGGGAGATAATATTAATAACCATTTAAAAGTTATGAGCAAAAAACTATTGTTAAATTTCGTTGTTTTCTATGAGCAATTACCACGTCAAAAATGCACTAAATCACCAGTTTCCACTTTTAAAACACTACTAAAACGTTTCCGGTTATTATTTTATGCAAACCAAATCATTTATTTACTTTCATTTTATATATTTCGTTAATAAAACAGAGTAAACAAACTTTGCGCCTGCTAAAATTATTATAACCTCAAATCGCTGGTATTGCCACTTTATTTCACATTTCATTTGCGCTATTATACTCAGTTTACACTATACACTTCTTCTTCTTCTTTTTACTTTCATTTAAATAAGATATTGTAACCAAAATATAATAGCAAATTTCGCTATACCATCGCGCAATTTTTTATTAAAAATTTTCATTATTTATCGAAGTATTGATTTTTATGGAAAAAGCGCCGCAGGCGAAAATTTTTAATAAAAAATCGCGCGATTTTTTATTAAAAATTTTCATTATTTATCGAAGTATTGATTTTTATGGAAAAAGCGCCGCAGGCGAAAATTTTTAATAAAAATCGCGCGATTTTTTATTAAAAATTTTCATTATTAAACGAAAGAAGATACCGAAAAGCATTGAACAGTGCACACATCTCATAAGGAAAAGTGAATTATTACGAAATACTAATACAGTGGCAGCACTATAGCTATTTTGGAATGTCGCGTTTCAGCTGGCAAAGATTGTCAACTTCTTTTTAATAGCAAAATAATCTATCTTAGGTTGATAAAACTATGTGTTTCTTTAATAAATATGTTAAATTATATATTTTAATAGTGTTTAAAAAGTGAGAACACGTGATTTAGTGAATCTTTGTCGGTGTAATTGCCCATAGAAAACAACGAAATTTAACAAAAGTTTTTTGTTCATAACTTTTAAATGGTTAATAATATTATCTCCCCCAACCGGATTGTTATTAGGGGGGCCGAAACGCGTCGGTTGGTACCCCTCCCGACTTTTCCGCACCTTTTTTAGGGGTTGTTACCCCACCCTAGAGAATTACCATTTTAATAGTGTTTAAAAAGTGAGAACAGGTGATTTAGTGAATCTTTGTCGGTGTAACTGCCCATAGAGAACAACGAAATTTAACAAAAGTTTTTTGTTCATAACTTTTAAATGGTTAATAATATTATCTCCCCCCCTCCGGATTGTTATTAAGGAGGCCGAAACGCGTCTGTTTGTACCACTCCCGACTTTTCCGCACCTTTTTTAGGGGTTGTTACCCTACCCTAGAGAATTACCATATTTTTCACCGCTGAGAAGCTTTGTTTACAAATCGAGCAAACTAAATAGTGTGCTTATACATGTTTATGTAAATTTGTGCAAATTAAAATGAAATAAAAAAGAAAGCAAGTCTATAAAAACGTGGTAAAAATTAGTACAACGAAGTTCTGGGGTTCAACGATTCGTCAGAGGATGAGAGTTTAGTGAACTGACCAGGAGTAGTAAATGTTTAAGAGATTTTAAGTGTAGTTTTACAATATATTTTGACATAAAATATATTTAAGAAATTTGTCTACAGATTTACTAAAAACTTCCGACTGTCTAAAGAGGCGTTTGTGAGCCAAATCTATCAGTGAACCGCTTCCTTCTCCTGACGAAACCACTCCGTCTCCATCACTGCCAACCTCCGCCCAACTAACCGCTTCTGTTTCTGGTGGAATCTTCGGCACTTCCTCTAAGACCAACCGTCTGCTGAAGCACTGGTTGTCGTAACCAACCCTAAGTGGCACTTTCCTGTCGCCATAGGTTAGGATCATTCCCTGGAGGTCAATCTTCATGCCTTGCCCAAGTAGGAAATCCACACCGATGATGACTTCATCCACGATGTCTGCGACAATAAACTGCGTGTACGAGGCCAACCCGTCGATTATTACCTCGCATAGTACTTCTCCTAACACTTGGGTTCGCTCACCAGTTGCAGTCTGCAGCTTTGCTCCAGGTAGTGGCTTCACATAAAAAGTAGTCACATCAGGTCGAATAATGGAATGTGACGCTCCAGTATCCACTGTCAGCACTCGCTCCTGCCCATTCACACATCCACCAATAGTGAGGTTGCTCGCATTCCGGCCAATTTGTGAGACGGAGATTATGGGCCCTTCAACTTCTGGAGCCAGCACGCGGCCCTTCCTGCTGGCACGTTTTAGTTTAACGACTGATTTGAGTTGGATTCGTCTCCCTCAGCCCTGCGTTTGCGTCCTGCTGAGTGGTTGAGCCTACTGGAACTTGCGCTGCAATCGCGGGCGAAGTGGCCTGGTTTTCCGCAATTAAAGCATTTCCTAGCACCATCCTTTCTCTCGGTTGCACCAGGAGTATTCTTATCTGCCATCGACTTGAGTGTTTTCAGGATCTCGTTCATCACGTCAGGTGTTTCCACTTCTACTCGATGGGCTTTGTAGGCTGGTCTACTTAGGAGCGCTGCCGTTTCACGTGTCTGAGCATACGAGACCGTTTCAGCAAATGTTGGCTTTGGATTTGCATACGTCTCGCGCTTGGTATACACGTCCCGCATTCCGTTGATGAACCTCTGGATTTTTACTCTTTCGAGGTGCTCACCAGATGCATCTCCAATTGCCAAATGAGCCAACCTTTCAACCTCGGAGGCGAATTCCTGTAGAGTCTCGTTGGATTTCTGGCAGCGATTTTCCAGCTCCATCTGGTAAATCTGTCTCCTGTGCTCGCTACCATAACGTCTTTCCACTGCACCCATTAACGCATCGTAACTGTTCCTTTCACAATCAGGAATAGTCTGCAAGATTTCCGCTGCAGGTCCTTTTAATGCAACGACCAGTGCCGCGGATTTATCCTCCATGCTCAAGTGATTTGCTGTAGCTGTCTTCTCAAACTGGAGCTTAAGGACTTGGAAAGGAATCGTGCCGTCAAAGGATGGAGTCTTTACCTTGGGCGCGCTGTTCGAAGAAGGTGGGCGATTCAACTGCATATCTCGGAGGCGACCTTCCAACTCTTCTACCTTAGCCTCGACTTTCTCCTGAATTAGCTCTTCGATTTTATCTTGTCGTTCCTCGATTTTATCCTGTCTCTCTCTGAGTTCCGCGTTATCTTTAAATAAATTCTCTTGTAGCTGAGTAATCTTTTCATCTAGCTGCGATGACATGTACGTTTTCTGTGCTTCCAGTTGCGAGGACATGCGTGTTTCCTGCACTTGCAGCTGGGATGAAATCTGTGATATGGCACCCAACAACATGTTCATGTCATAGCCGTTGACGCACAAGGAGCCTTTCCCTGCTCTTCAAGCTTCGCTGATGTCTTCTGCACATCATTCGATGAACCAGCAACCTCTTCCTTGTCTTTGTCCTTCAAGGATGCCTCGTCGTCCTCACGATGGAAGTCGTGTTTGTCAACGTCGATTCCTTCCTTTTCCATAGCCTCTCCACTTTTCTTCCGGAGGTTGCTAAATTTCGTTTCTCCAACTCCTGCTTGAGTTCCTCAATATTTAGATCCTGAATTTTTGCCATTTTCAGTAGTTTATATTTCGGGATTTATTTAACAATCCCACTTCTGACACCAATCGTTACGATTATCCTCGAAACCTTGAGGGATTACCCAAATATACTCGGGCTCGTATCGCTGGATTGTTAAATAAATGCTAACGATGACCGAATTGTAGTACAATTAACTTTATTGTACAACAAACAATTTACAATACTTGCTAATACAGTAAAAACACTTTACAATACTTGTTAAAGCAATAACAACGCTTTACTACTTGTTAACACAATTAAACTTATAGCTTGCTTATTCGCAACTCGATTCTCCGCTCACTTTACTTGTAGCTTGCTGACTTGTAACTCGTAACTAACTCACCTCGCGGTGGCGGCGCCCTTATATACCTGCGCTGGCACTTATGGCAACTCTAGAACATTCTGAAGTTTATCGCTTATTCTCTTTCTCTCGCTGTTCGCAGTGTTCATCCAACTTGACGTTTCTCTTTGTGGAGCATTCTACGTCATTCTTCGAACATTCTGCCTATTTCTCGTTGTTCGCTTTGTGTTGCCGTAGTATTCGCCACAATACATATGTATAAAAACGGCAACACTGCAAGGTTCATACAACTCTGTTCGCAATGTTGCCATTTCGCCAAAAATTTTACTTTGCGCACTGGTATTTACCAATTTCTTGCTCCACTACTACCACCAAAGTTTTATACAAAATGCCACTTATCACGTGTATTGTGTGTGATATACTTAACTTGCAATGTTCATGTGCATATAAAGTACTTTTAATATATATCTATTAATCAAATAATTAATATATTTATGGCATCAAACTCAGTATCGACATAACTCGTGTCAGTGTACCTCGCTTCAAATGAAAGTGTTTTTATGCAACAAGAGAAATGAATCGATCGAACACGCTTTCAAACAGAGTTCATCCCCAAGCAACCCTGTTAATACATGTGTCAATTTTTGAAAATAATAAACATGGAAAAATAATAATTAAAAACTCAAAAAGCCATGAAAAAAGGATTTTAGCTATTGATTACATTAATTGCATGAAACAACCGTGTGGACAAATCCCATGTTTATATGCACTCTTAACACGATTCAACAACTCTTAACTCACATTCAAAATGTGATTTATGGTGGCACCGTTAAAAGTTTCAATTTGATTTAAGAATAAGTTTACATATGTGTGTTCAAATAACATGGTATGACTTAGAACGAATTGAAGCGTCATATCAACATGGTAACTGTGAGTTAATACGTAAAAATTTATGGTGACGTGCCATAATGTCAATGGAATTAATGTCGTTGACTTAAATACACAATTGAAAAGTATTTTCGATATATATATATATATATATTATACGTCTTCGACTCCATGCATACAACAGGGAGTCGGTAACGTCGATAACTATGTTTAACCGCAGATTAGTGTTAACCAGACATTGAGTAACCGGCCCTAAGGCTGTATGCGAGCTGACCTAAATTTTAGTACCTAAACTAACACACAACCTAAGTTTTAGTACCTAAAACAACGTCACAACAGACGGCCAATCTATTCGCCACTCGACTCACACACCTGCTCTCTGAGAGCACTCTTCAACAATCCGACGTACGCGAGCAGTGGAACCACATTTCCCGATCATTAAGTACCGCCGCCGAAGAAGTAGTTGGATTTCAGCGAGCCCGAAAGAACAACTGGTACGATGAGGAATGTCAAGAAGCCGCAGAGAAAAAAGATGCCGCCTACAGGGCCACGCTGCGATCGGGCGCAACGCGAGCCATGTGGGACCGTTATAGGGAACTGAAGAAGGAAGCGAGACGTATTTGCCGCAATAAGAAGAGAGAGGCCGAAATACGTGAGTGCGAAGAGCTTGAGATGCTGGCCGACAGGAAGAACGCCCGAAAATTCTACCAGAGGGTTAGGCGACTTACGGAAGGTTTCAAGACCGGGGCGAACTCCTGTAAGAACAACAATGGCGACCTAGTGACCGATGTCCAGAATATACTTAAATTGTGGAGGGAACACTTTTATAACCTACTGAATGGTAGCAGCGCTGAAAGTAGTGAGGAAGACGAACCCGAGTCCCCAGTCGATGATGATGGAGTAGCTGTCCCACCGCCTGACTATGACGAGGTACGAATAGCGATTACGCGGCTGAAAAACAACAAAGCTGCTGGAGCTGACGGCCTGCCAGCCGAGCTATTCAAGTACGGCGGCGAGGAGCTGATGAGGTGCATGCATCAGCTCGTATGCAGAATATGGTCAGATGAACGCATGCCCGACGACTGGAATTTAAGTGTGCTCTGCCCAATCCACAAGAAAGGCGACCCCGCCATACGCGCCAACTACCGCGGAATTAGCCTTCTAAGCATAGGTTACAAGGTCTTATCGAGCGTATTGTGCGAAAGACTGAAGCCCACCGTCAACGAGCTGATTGGACCTTATCAGTGTGGCTTTAGGCCTGGAAAATCCACCATAGATCAGGTATTCACAATACGCCAAATCTTGGAAAAGACCCGCGAGAATAGGATCGACACACACCATCTATTTGTCGATTTCAAAGCCGCTTTCGACAGCACGAAGAGAAGTTGCCTTTATGCCGCGATGTCTGAATTTGGTATCCCCGCGAAACTAATACGGCTGTGTAAAATGACGTTGAGCAATACCACCAGCTCCGTCAGAATAGGGAAGGACCTCTCCGAGCCGTTTGATACCAAACGAGGTTTCAGACAAGGGGACTCCCTTTCGTGTGATTTCTTTAATCTTATGTTGGAGAAGATAATAAGAGCCGCAGAACTGAACCGCTCAGGCACAATACTTTATAAGAGCGTACAATTGCTGGCGTATGCCGACGACATCGATATTATCGGTAAAAACAAGGGCTACGTCTGTTCTGCCTTCTCGGGATTGGATAGAGAAGCAAAGCGAATGGGTCTGGTGGTGAACGAGGACAAAACGAAGTATCTCCTGTCATCACACAAACAGTCAGATCATACGCATCTTGGCACCCACGTCACTGTTGAGTTACAATTTCGAGAAAGTAGAGAATTTCGTTTACTTGGGAACCAGCATTANCTACTTTGGGCTGAGTAGGCAATTGAGAAGTAAAGTCCTCTCTCGTCGTACAAAGATCACACTCTATAAGTCACTCATCATGCCTGTGCTGGTGTATGGCGCGGAAGCATGGACAATGAAAGCATCTGATGAGGCGGCTCTTGGAGTTTTCGAGAGAAAGATTCTGCGAAAGATTTACGGACCTTTACGCGTTGGTGATGGCGAATATCGCAGACGATTTAACGATGAGCTGTATGAGCTTTACAACGATATAGACATAGTGCAGCGAATTAAAATTCAGCGGCTCCGCTGGCTTGGCCATGTCGTTCGGATGGACAGAAACGCTCCTGCTCTGAAAATATTCAACGCGGGCCGCGATGCTGGGAACAGAGGAAGAGGAAGGCCTCCTCTGCGTTGGAAAGACCAGGTGGAGAAGGACTTGGCTTCACTTGGCATTTTCAATTGGCGTCAGTTAGCACAGAAGAGAAATGACTGGCGTGCTGTTTTGGACTCGGCCAAAATCGCTTAGGCGGTTACAGCGTCAAATAAGAAGAAGAAACTAATATTCCACTGGAAATTTCCAACACTGCTGCAATTTAGAAAAACAACTGCTAAAACTGTGCGAGTTCATTTGACAACCTAAATTGTTTGGGTATAAGTGAGAAATTGAGCCCGTTGAGCTAGAAAAAAAAAGAAAAAAGTGGACATGGTTCGCCTTCTTCCATTGATTGTAATGGTATAAAAAATGTTTGGAGCAAATTAATAGGGACGGTGCTAGGGGGTGGTAAAACTACAATTTTCACTATTTTCAAATGCTTATAAAAAAGAAAACGAGATAATATCTTTTTGAATCAAAATGTATGTTTTTCTTAAAAAAATTGGTAATTGACTTTATTAAAAGATAGGTTTTTTCCAAATTTTCACTCCTTTCTTTAATATTGTTTTATTCTGATGCACACATCTTACAATTGATTAATTATTTATTTAAGAAAAGCATACATTTTGATATGAAAAGACATCATCTCTTTTTTCTGGAAATAAGTATATATATTTTTTTATAGGTGTACATACTTAATGAAAGGTATTTCAATTACCTTTCCATCAATATCCACGTTTTGAAAATCGCTTTAATAAGTTTTGAAAAATAAGCTTTTGAAAAAATGTAAACTTCCACTTTTACCACCCCCTTACACCGCCCCTTTTAATTTGCAGCTAAACAAAACTCATACCACCAAAATCAAGTATAAGGGGCGAGCCACACATATTTTTTCTCTTTTCTAGCCCATTCTTATTCTTTACTTTTACCAAAATCAAAGATATTTATGTTGACACTTTTCTGAATATTTTCTTTTCTGTGCCATAGAAAAAATAAAAATTACTTAAAACCTCTAAAAAAACTCATTTAGGGGATTCCCTTAAACTCGTAAAGTCTTAAACTGTATAAAACTCGTAAGTTTACGAGGCTTTTATGGGAACGCTCCCTATGTGAAAAGGTGTAAATAGGTGCGTAAAGTGACTGTTTGACAGATCAATCAGGATTTTGTGAAGCAATTTTTGTTTCGTAGTATTTTCCATAACATCCCGCCGTCTTGTCTCTATCACTCTTGGCTAAAATACTCTCTGTGCAGTTAGTGGATGAAGCTCATTCATTTCATTCGCGTATTATTTATTTCATTTATTTTTATTATTTTATCATACATTTTAGTATATAAATTTCGGCCCCTCGGTAACACTGAAGTTTACGAGGTCGTTTGCGCATCAAATTTGCCTCGTAATTTTACGAGGGGTCCGTAAATTGAGCTCCACACAGATTTTGACAGTTCTTTTATGAGGCTCGTAAATTAACGAGCTTTACAAGGTTCGCGAGGCTTTTACGAGTTTAAGGATATACCCTTATTGTTCGCTTAACGCGCGCCCTTTCATATTTCACAGTTCAATTCAGATTGAACAGTGTGCTCGGAGAAAATCAAAATTGTTCTATATTTAGGGCCGGTTGTTCAATGTCTGGTTATCACTACTTGCCGGTTAAACATCATTATCGTCGATTTCGACATCATGCATATAACATGTGATCGATAAAGCAGTCGTTGTATCTAACCGGAGCTTCTACCTCCGATTTGTGCTAATCAGACATTGAACAACCGGCCCTTAGGTAGCAATTTACACAAACTCGCACACAGCCCAATTAACAAAATTTATTTTTATAGCATTACATCAATTATTTCCAAAGTGTCTTAGGGTCATGCATATAACACGGTTTCTGTAACGTCGATAACTATGTTTATCCGGGGATTAGTGTCAACCAGGCTTTGAGCAACTGGCCCTTAAGCTTGAAACACATTGTAAACGATGGGCTACGGAGCTGTCAAATTACTTTAACACGTACTCTTATATAGATAATTATTTTGGTGACGACACGGCAACACTGCGACTAGCCAAAATATAGCCGTGGCCAGATTGGATCTATTTCTATTTTTCTAGCGACAGATAAGATTCTTCCTCTTCTTTTATGTCAAATTCAAACAAATTCATGATGTCGCTGCCGCGTTCAAAAAAACATTTCGCCGTTGACAACGCGTTTAGATTATGTAGATAAAACCTTAGGGCCGGTTGTTCAATAACTGGTTATCACTGCTTGCCGGTTAACATCATTATCGACGGTTTCAACATCATGTATATAACATGTGATCGATAAAGCAGTCGTTGTATCTAACCGGAGCTTCTACCTCCGATTTTTGCTTATCACACATTGAACAACCGGCCCTTAATGTCGTGTAATTCAGCTATTGATGAAATCCTAAAAAGCGCCAAACGTCTGAAAAGCTTGCTGTGGAGTTGTACTCTTACAGGTATATTCTGCACATTACCGAAAATTTTCAAACCGGAAAATTTTATTACCCAAAAATGTTACCAGTTCTTGTCACCGCGATTCTAGGTATGTTGGTAATGCAGTTAAAAGGTTACTATGCCCGACAACTCCGCATATCTTTGTGAAATCATTCCCATAGCGCGCTCTTAGTTCGCTGCTGTAATTGTAAATGCAATACAAATCCACCGTTTCCTTCAAAATATGTAAAATCAAACAATTTTACTATAATAAAGCCCTTAATGAGTGTTTTTTAAATTCCTTTCTACTTTGTTTTCCTTGATATTTTCGCGAAATATTTACAAGAACCTGCAATTTTTAAAATATAGACAGCACAACAATTCTAGACATCATTTTTCAGTAATATCTCTTCTTTTCTTTTCTTTAAATGTATTTTGTGCATGAACACAGAGACTTTTTACAAGTTCGTCATATTTTATAGTTAAAACGCTCATATTTATTGAATCTTTTTGGAATTATGTTAATAATTTCGACAGATTTTATGCCAAAGTGTCTTTTATGCAATTTTAATGCAAATATTAACTTTTCCACTAATTCTTCCCCATAAAATGTAAACAAACAATGCGTGCACAACGATTAGCAAACGACAGTGCCGTACTTATCCGTTTCTGCATCTTCTACGATTTGCCGATAACTAGCCGATAACAAGTGTGCAAATCTCCTTTGAAATGTATGTGCTCGGCTCAAAATTTCAGGGCGAGACGATAGCGGAACTATAATTGGACGACAAGTGTGCAGATAGCCTTAAGCTAAAATTAGTCGAGAACGCAGAACGTATACTTAGGGCCGGTTTCTCTATCTCCGGTTAAAGGCACCGTTATGCATACTTGGCATGGCTTGAGAGCTGTCACATAAGAAATCTGTTAAATGAGCCTCGCGTGTAATCGGTTATCGAACGCACAGCACTACATACGTAGAAGTCTGTTGGTTTTTGATTTCTACGTAAAAATGGTATAGCAGTGCATGCAATGCCAAGTATGCATAACAGAGCCTTNGGCATGGCTTGAGAGCTGTCACATAAGAAATCTGTTAAATGAGCCTCGCGTGTAATCGGTTATCGAACGCACAGCACTACATACGTAGAAGTCTGTTGGTTTTTGATTTCTACGTAAAAATGGTATAGCAGTGCATGCAATGCCAAGTATGCATAACGGAGCCTTTAGTGTTAACCAGAGATGAAGAAACCGACCCTGTTGTATGCACGGAGTCGAAGACGTCGATAACGATGTTTAACCACAGATTAGTGTTAACCGGACATTGAGTAACCGGCCCTTAAACGCAGTCTGTATACGCAGAATTTTGTCGATTACTGGAGCCCTTAGGGCCGGTTATTCATTGTCTGGTTATCACTACTTGCCGGTTAAACATCATTATCGACGTTTTCGACATCACGCATATAACATGTGATCGATAAAGCAGTCGTTATATTTAACCGGACCTTAGTGTTTGCTTACTACACTGTTGCCACTCATCAATGCCTTTTCATAAACTTACCCTTTCAACTACAATTTTTCGTGCTATAATAGATTTTAGCTAAATATAAACTACTTAGTTTTCAACAAAAACCTTATTCAATAGTAAATTTCAAATATTTTAAACATATTTTGAGTAGGAACTTATATCTTTTTTACCATCTGTAAAACTGACGAAGTGGCAACCATCTAAAGAAGGAGAAATCAGCTGACACGGAAAAATCTAAATTCCGCAGATTTCTGCGCTACGGGCTACAACTACAGAAAAATTCTGCGGTTTCATTTACATGGCGCTTTGGTAAGACAGATCGTGTCAGATGACTCGGGTTTACGTACCGGTTGGTTTACGTTCTTTACTAATTTCAGCTTTACGCGTTGGACATAGCACCTCAAAATCGTTGTACAAATATGCAAACAGTACCCGAACGTTGCTTTTTTGCAAATTAACACAAAATTCGATTTTTTCTAGAAAGCTTTGACTATATCCTAATGAAGCATTTTTGCTGCATTTAAAATGCAACATTTAGCACTTTCGAACATAAGTTTACAAAGAGCGTTCATGCTATCGCATTTAGCAAATATACATTTACGCGAGATCTAAATCGTATGCTTTTGACAAAGAGCCGTGTTCCAGTCGCTTATTCAAATTCGTATCTACTGAAAAGGAAAAAATAAATTTTAAACCAAATATTCAATACAAAAACTTGAATTGTTTTAACCATAACCAAAAATTTGTTTGTATATATATTCATTTGTCGGTGCTGTCAATTAAAATTTCTTCACTTAATTAGGAAACAAAACAAATAGAGTTGATCCAGATTTCTATCAGCATCACATCGACTAATAAATGAAATCTCGATCGGCGATCACTGAAACACAGCTAGCCACTGTACACGCGAAAAAGCATTTTAGATTCTTAATGCAAAAATGGAGTTGCATTTAGTTGCATTTATGTGAGTAATTGGTAGTATTGCACTTTAGCGAAAGCAGGTCAAAATGGACGAAAAAAGTTCGACAGTGGTATCAATCGACGCGTGTCAACGCCAATAATAACAATCCGAGACCGGAAATTAACATTTTTAATTCATTAAAGAGTTATTTGCAAAAAACACTTGTAGCGAAAGTAGGCCAATATTGATGAAAAAAATTCAAGAGGGGTATCAATCGACGCGTTTTAATGCGAACAACAATAATCCGAGACGGAAAATTAACATTTTTTATTCCTTAAAGAGTTGTTTGCAAAAAGCACTTTTACTTTCCGCACCAGTGTTGGCAAAATGTTAATCTGATTAACGATTAAAAATTAATGATTAAAATGTTAATCGCGATTAACGACTAAAATTGATTAATCGTAATCTTCCGTACGATTAATGATTACATTTTTTTAATCGTTAATCGGCGGTTGTGATTAAGGTTAAATAATTTTAATCATTAATCGTTAACCCAATTAAAATAAAAATCTGATTAAGGGCCGGTTACTTAATGTCTGGTTAACACTTATCTCTGGTTAAACATAGTTATCGACGTTAACGACTCCCTCTTATATGCATGGAGTCGAAGTCGTCAATAACGATGTTTAACCGCAGATTAGTGTTAACCAGACATTGAGTAACCGGCCCTAAGTGGTCTAGTTTGTCCGAATTTGAAACCAAACACGGGTTATAGTTATTTCATTTGTGTTTCACACTTATGGTGATTTCGTTTCTACCAAACAATTTGCCTTTTGATTGCCAGCAAGGCAAGGGTGAGAAAATTGTGTGTTCGTTTCTTAAAGTGTCGCACTTTTGTAAGGCAAAAAAGGCACATTCTCTGCCCTGTAAAGTTTTGTCAGGGGAGATGGTTGCCCTGAAAATTTGATGGTTGTTTAAAACGACAATATTATGCAATGCGTGAGCTAGATAAGGACAAGAAGGCAAAAACATGCCTTTCTACAGGGTTTAGTGTAACATCAAACACATTTTACACAGGGGCAGGGCAACATTTTTTGGAGAAACGAAATCACCATTCAAAAAAAACGCATAATATATAAAAAAAAATAATAATTATTATTATTAGTAATACATAAATNGCGAAAGTAGGCCAATATTGATGAAAAAAATTCAAGAGGGGTATCAATCGACGCGTTTTAATGCGAACAACAATAATCCGAGACGGAAAATTAACATTTTTTATTCCTTAAAGAGTTGTTTGCAAAAAGCACTTTTACTTTCCGCACCAGTGTTGGCAAAATGTTAATCTGATTAACGATTAAAAATTAATGATTAAAATGTTAATCGCGATTAACGACTAAAATTGATTAATCGTAATCTTCCGTACGATTAATGATTACATTTTTTTAATCGTTAATCGGCGGTTGTGATTAAGGTTAAATAATTTTAATCATTAATCGTTAACCCAATTAAAATAAAAATCTGATTAAGGGCCGGTTACTTAATGTCTGGTTAACACTTATCTCTGGTTAAACATAGTTATCGACGTTAACGACTCCCTCTTATATGCATGGAGTCGAAGTCGTCAATAACGATGTTTAACCGCAGATTAGTGTTAACCAGACATTGAGTAACCGGCCCTAAGTGGTCTAGTTTGTCCGAATTTGAAACCAAACACGGGTTATAGTTATTTCATTTGTGTTTCACACTTATGGTGATTTCGTTTCTACCAAACAATTTGCCTTTTGATTGCCAGCAAGGCAAGGGTGAGAAAATTGTGTGTTCGTTTCTTAAAGTGTCGCACTTTTGTAAGGCAAAAAAGGCACATTCTCTGCCCTGTAAAGTTTTGTCAGGGGAGATGGTTGCCCTGAAAATTTGATGGTTGTTTAAAACGACAATATTATGCAATGCGTGAGCTAGATAAGGACAAGAAGGCAAAAACATGCCTTTCTACAGGGTTTAGTGTAACATCAAACACATTTTACACAGGGGCAGGGCAACATTTTTTGGAGAAACGAAATCACCATTCAAAAAAAACGCATAATATATAAAAAAAAATAATAATTATTATTATTAGTAATACATAAATAGGGAACTTTGTGCAGAGGGATATTAAAACCTAGTTTGCTTAGCGTCTGTTAAAATAGATCTTAATGAAAATGCACACCAAATTGCTTAGATTTATGAGGAAAACCGACTTTGCCATACCCGATTAACTGGCCTTGTGTGCACAGTAAAATTCTAGCATAAATTTATTAATCACAAAACCTACTCAATCAAATTAACAGTTAATGATTAAAAATTAATTTTTTAATCGCGGTTAAGATTAACTGTTTAATCAGATTAAAATTAATCATGATCAACTGGAATCGGATTGAATTTAATCGAATTAACCAATTGATTAAAAAAATCAATCGATTAACGTCAACACTGTTATGATAAATTTCACCCAAATGAATGGAATAAATGAACTGAATTTAACACGTATTTATTAGTTTTTATACATTTGTGATGTTTTAAGTGTACACTTTCGCGAAATTCTGTATTTAATAGCAATATTCCGATGGTGAAAAGCCGCACAACAATCTTGTGGAGTTAATATAAATAACATGGAAGAAAACTGGTGCAGCCACTCTATTAATACAATTTGTATTTCAACTTTAAAAACACCCAAATAATGCACAAGAAATATACTTTAGTGATAAGGGGATTTATGTTCCTTTTCTTCGCACGCAGAAAGGAGAATTCTACGTAGTGAGGGATATAATCTCTAAGCGCGGCCGAAGGCCGCCTACGCAGAAAGGTGTTCTCTGCAAAAGGTGTTCTGCCCCTTTTCTTTGGCAACACAGAAAGGAGAATTCTCTGTTGTGAGGGTTATAATGCCTAAGCGCGGCTGAAGGCCGCCTACGCAGAAAAGTGTTCTCTGCAAAAGGTGTTCTGCCCCTTTTCTTTGGCAACACAGAAAAAAGAATTCTACGTTGTGAGGGTTATAATCCCTAAGCGCGGCCGAGTGCCGCCTACGAAAACAGGAGTTGGATGCACAAAAACTTTTTTAATAAAGTGGCAGCAGCAATTTAGATCCATTTTATTTTTAATAGAGTGACAACACTAGTATTCCTCCATGTAATGTATATTAGGAGTGTTCGCTATGCAACTGCCAGTAAGAATTAGCCAGTAACAAAATTCAGAGAATAAGGTACCTTACTCTCCCAAAGAGAAAAACTTATTAAGTTTTGCGCGAACAGGAATTAGCAAACATTTGCAAGCTTCACTGCCAGCTGGCGTCCACGGTTGCATTTCGAGCATAATAATTTTTTTTAATTATTTCGGGTAGAAACCAAAACAGGACCTATACTTATATTTCTTCTTATTCTAACTTTCTTCAACATACGCTTCAATTTCTTTAAGGAAGTCACTGTCGGATTTTCTACATCGTCAGTGGTGTCGAGTGCGTACCGATTTCGAATACAGCTTTTTCAGCCGAGTACCTTTTAAATGTTTGGAATTAATTAAATTAATTGAATAAACGAATATTTACATACTTCTTTCATTAGTAAATCGCAAAGGGATTGCTCATTTTTAAATTTAACGAACTCGTCGATTCAAATTAATGTTGACAAAAATGCAACCGCGTGCCACAATCCTGCTTGAAAATTCTTACCGGCAAAAATTTTCCCAGCACGAATTTGCTACTTCCCCAAATTGTGCTCTCTCCTTGCAAGTTTTACTGGGTTTTTGGCTAAACGAACACGATTTGGTATCAATTGGTACCAACTTGTACAAATTTTTTGCATAGCGAACACTCCTGTTAACTACGCAAGATTGTTGTGCGGATTTTCACCAACGGAATATTGCTAGGGATACAAATTTTGAGCAGTAACATCGATACGTCGATGTTTGGATGCATCGGAGAAAATAACATCGAGGCTAAAATACGTCGCTAGAAAAACAGCGATATATCGACGTTTTGCAATTTGTTAACTTCTAGTTAAATTTAAAGCAATATTGAATACTTTAATAATTATGAATGTATTTTCCTGTAGAATTAAAATGCATACCATCGTGACGTCGTTCGGGCCTAAAGATCCTTGGCCTGATCTTGTTGAAATTCTAAAGGGTGTTTTTGGTTCTGTTTCAACGGCTAGGTTATTAGCATTCAGAATGAATCCAACGATTTCATTGAGCTTGTGGCCGTTTCTTATGAAAAATGTTGGGGACAAGCAACAATAATTTACAAAGGTAAGAAGTTATAGCTGCTATTTGGGAGATCACCACATCTACTAATCAGAATTATTCAATCGCGGTCACTGAGATGTGGTGATCTCCGAAATAGCAGCTATAACTTCTGCCTTTTGTAAATTATTGCTAATTTTCAATAACATTTTTCATAAGAAACGGCCTCAAGCTCAATAAAATTTTTGAATATAATTGATATAAGACCATAAATAACATAAAAAATCTAAATGGATAATAAATTTAAGGTCAGTCAAACATACTGAAAGAAAGTCGGGGAGTCTCCTTAAAGTCGATGTTTAAAACATCGGTAAAACTTCCATCTATGTTAGTAAATTGTAAACATCGATGGCAAACAACGAAAATTTAGCCGATATTGTCGATGTTTCAAAAACATCGATGCATCGTTTGCATCCCTAAATATTGCTATTAAATACAGAATTACACGAAAGTGTATACTTAAAACATCACAAATGTATAAAAAACGGTAATTCTCTAGTGTAGGGTAACAACCCCTAAAAATGGTCCGGAAAAGTCGGGAGGGGTGCCAAACGACGCGTTTCGGCCCCCTAATAACAATCCGGTTGGGGGGAGATAATATTATTTACCATTTAAAAGTTATGAACAAAAAACTTTTGTTAAATTTCGTTGTTTTCTATGGGCAATTACACCGACAAAGATTCACTAAATCACGTGTTCTCACTTTTTAAACACTATTAAAATATATAATTTAACTTATTTGTTAAAGAAACACATAGTTTTATCAACCTAAGATAGATTATTTTGCTATTAAAAAGAAGTTGACAATCTTTGCCAGCTGAAACGCGAGATTCCAAAATAGCTATAGTGCTGCCACTGTATTAGTATTTCGTAATAATTCACTTTTCCTTATAAGGTGTGTGCACTCTTCAATGCTTTTCGGTATCTTCTTTCGTTTAATATATATATATAAATAATGAAAATTTTTTTTTAAAAATCGCGCGATTTTTTATTACAAATTTTCGCCTGCGGCGCTTTTCCCATAAAAATCAATACTTCGATAATAATACTTCGGCTGCGGCGCTTTTTTCATAAAAATCAATACTTCGATAAATAATGAAAATTTTTAATAAAAAATCCACCTGCGGCCGTTTTTCCATAAAAATCAATACTTTGATAAATAATAAAAATTTTTAATAAAAAATCGCGCGATTTTTTATTACAAATTTTCGCCTGCGGCGCTTTTCCCATAAAAATCAATACTTCGATAATAATACTTCGGCTGCGGCGCTTTTTTCATAAAAATCAATACTTCGATAAATAATGAAAATTTTTAATAAAAAATCCACCTGCGGCCGTTTTTCCATAAAAATCAATACTTTGATAAATAATAAAAATTTTTAATAAAAAATCGCGCGATTTTTTATTACAAATTTTCGCCTGCGGCGGTTTTTCCATAAAAATCAATACTTCGATAAATAATGCGGCGCTTTTTCCATAAAAATCAGTACTTCGATAAATAATGAAAATTTTTAATAAAAAATCGCACTTTTGGCACTCCATGACGCTTACTTTTAATTACAGCTAAAATAACTGTAAACCATAAAAGTAGCGCTGCCATGGTATAGCGAAATTTGCTATTATATTTTGGTTAGAATATCTTATTTAGGTGAAAGTAAAAAAAGAAGAAGAAGAAGTGTATAGTGTAAACTGAGTATAATAGCGCAAATGAAATGTGAAATAAAGTGGCTGTTGACGCCGTTCCTACAGGGACACATTTCACTTGCTCCTACAGGGCATGGCGCTAATCTGATAACAAAAGGGATACACCGCTAGTTATGCGTATTGATATTCTATATGTACATATGTATGTATATGATGCATTTTGCACTTAATGTGTTTGGTATACAAGAATTCTCAATCTCTTTGAAATTTACTTTGAACATCATTATGTATGTATGTAAATTTATTTTCATTCCCGTTGCAAATAGCGTGAAGTTCCAACTATGTAAATAGCATATATAAGGGCCGAAAATTAAAACGGCTCAAGTTCGCTTGTAAGCCCACGTGAAGTAACAAATATTTTTTAAAGTCCTCGATTGAAATTATTGGAAAATAAACTGCATATTCTAAACGCAAAACTTGAGTTCTTTAGAATTTGTTCAGAGTCGTGGGTGAACTCGTTAAAGTCGTACTTTAACAAATCTACAA